AAGAATCGATTATCAAGGTATTGGTTGCGAATACCCTGTTTATTGATCCTTTTCCATAGGTTTGAACGGCAGATCAAGGGACGTGTCGAAAAGCACGCTATGCCACTGGTCAATCGGAGTAGTAGGACATGATGTGGAAACTTGAAAATCTATCTTCGTCCATAGAAAATGTGGAGGTTCAAAAGTGATTTCATTGGTTTTCTCGTGAAAATCCCTTCGAAATGCACATATCCCTAGACATCAAATTTTGCTCCTCGAGTAAAACATTTCATGTCCTACCAGCCCTTTCCGTCCATTCCACTATGTGGCGTTCCTGTCTTTCAGACGTTGCTTTAATTTAATACTGTAGCAACCTAATTAATTTTTCCTGAAATTATTCCCTCTCCATCCATATCAATCATTATTATATTCATGAAGACATTCGTACAAATTTTAAAAGAAAATCTGCAAAAGACTAAAAAAACTCTTGAAAGACTTAAACTTTTACAATTTAAAGAATCATTGGTGGGAAGAAGAATTTTAGGGCGGATAATTAGGTCGCTTCAATACTGAAGTGAAGTTGCAAAATTTTACCAGCGTAGCGTGACGCCCTTCTTGCCTAAAGCCCTTCAATCACGTCAGTCAAGTTAACTGAATAATCTGAAACCCGAGTTTGGATGACGTTCCATCCTTTGAGAGGTCTAATTATAAGTACAGCGTAGCGCGCGTGGAGTGTCAAAAGTTGGTGCGTCCAAAATTTTCAACATATTTTTCCGTTTTCCAATTTGATCTCCTTATTTTTCCTCTAAAAAGTTTTCTCATTATATCCGGTAGGATTGAAATTCCTTCTCAAAATATATTTGTCTCTCAGATTTGTAAATAGTAAGTTAAATACTTTCTCTCGAGGAACCTCTAATCGGAAAAAACGGAGGATGTTTCTTGAATACTAATACACCGATACTCTGAATGCGAGTTGTACCTTAAATAAATATCTGTCTCGTATTAAAATACGAATATACAGGATGTCTCACGAAAAAGGAGCCACCTTGAATATCTGGCGAACGGGTTGGAATTTCGAAAAACGGTAAAAGACGTGTTCGTTTATATCGAGGGGGACACCTTTTGGCGTATTTGACATTTTCTCAAACCGCGGGGGGGCGCGGGGCGGGGGGTGCCCCCCCCGTAAATCGAAATTTTCAAATGGCACCCCTACTTTTTTATTTCAGAAATCAATTCTACGCAAAAAAACAAGCCACCCTATCCAAACCGGATGTAAATCGGACAATTTTTCAGCGATTGGCAGAGGTTCAAACATTTTTTTCATGCTCTTTTCAAAAATTCCCTACGCTCAATGGAATTGCCGTATCAAACCAAACTCTCCGCCAAAAAAATTCTTAAACATTGCACTTTCAATTAAAAATAAGAAAAAGAAAGGATAAACCCCCAAAAAACCAAAAAAAAANGTTTTTTTTGGTTTTTTGGGGGTTTATCCTTTCTTTTTCTTATTTTTAATTGAAAGTGCAATGTTTAAGAATTTTTTTGGCGGAGAGTTTGGTTTGATACGGCAATTCCATTGAGCGTAGGGAATTTTTGAAAAGAGCATGAAAAAAATGTTTGAACCTCTGCCAATCGCTGAAAAATTGTCCGATTTACATCCGGTTTGGATAGGGTGGCTTGTTTTTTGCGTAGAATTGATTTCTGAAATAAAAAAGTAGGGGTGCCATTTGAAAATTTCGATTTACGGGGGGGGCACCCCCCGCCCCGCGCCCCCCCCGCGGTTTGAGAAAATGTCAAATACGCCAAAAGGTGTCCCCCTCGATATAAACGAACACGTCTTTTACCGTTTTTCGAAATTCCAACCCGTTCGCCAGATATTCAAGGTGGCTCCTTTTTCGTGAGACACCCTGTATATCCCCCGTAGACCTCAGATTTTTGAATAGTTTCCAAAAGAAAGCGTGCAAGGGAGAAAGAAAACATGAGTGGGTCCATGATCAGATGGTAACATTTGCAAACGTTTAAATGGAAAATGCCCAATTAATATGAAGAGTAAAACACGAAACGCGTAAGGACAACCCAACTTTTCAGTGTATTCTTGGGTTTCCAGGGTTTTTCCATTTGTTTTCTCTTTTTTTAATTCAACAGAATTCATACCGAGCTCAACATAAAATTTGAATTTTTGTCTCACTTTCTGTATGAACCAAAATTAATACAAGAACACATCCCATTGTACGTAACTTTGTTCACGGCTAGGTGGAAATTCAGATGCACTGTTAAAAATTTTGAAGTAAAATTCGCCTTAAGTTAATGAAAACATCAAGGAAAAATATTCATAACTTTCCTCAAAAATAAGCATTTTGTCTTAGGGGATTTGGCAACTCTCGAATGTTCATACGGCGTTTTTCCTTAGCATAGCAGCATAGAGAAAAAAAAGGAGGTGTTTGCATCTCAAGGTTTGTTTACCCTGTGACGTAGGTCTACCGACCTACGTCACAGAACGTGGCTACAACGCGGCTACGTCACTACAACGTGGTTAGCGAAATCCGGAATTCGAAGTATGAAAAACGGACCATAATGTCCCATTTTTTGCTTAAATCAACTCATGATATGATTTCAAACACTTTTATGTAGAATGCATTTTTTCCATAAACTACACCATTTCCAAGAAAATCGATGATAAAAGTCGTTGTACCGACCTACGTCATCAAAAAAATTCCAAGTTGCCCGAAATGCGAACACCTTCTATTTTTTCTCTATGGCATGGCGGTATTGTTTTGAATCAAATGATGCATGGAACCACTATGCTGCCGTGCCAAGGAAGAACGCCGTATGAACATTCGAGAGTTGCCAAATTGTCCTTGATAAAACATGAATTTTTGACGACATTTACGCACATTTTTCTTTGAAACCTTCAGATATTTTAGATTAAATTCCGTACAAAATAGTCTGCAAATTTTGGAAAAAAATAATCACAATTTTCCCAGTAAATTCGGTTTTCACCGAAGGAAACTTGGCAACGTTTAAAGGCTCATACGGCGTTCTTCCTTAGCATGGCAGTATGGAATACGATCCATTGGAAAAGCCTCGAGTGGCAGCCGGGAGGCAGAAATGAGAATCCGGCGATTGGACGTTGGAATTGCCACGTGCCCCCGTGCAATTATCCCCGAAGGCTTCCGCGCTTCCCGGCCGATTTTCCGGGCACCTGTTGCGCGCGGCACCGGCGGTACCCGCAATCGCACCGCTTTGCGTCATCGGAAATCAGAGCTGCATCCGTAGCGACCTTTCCCTTTGCAATGTGACACGACGAGGGTGGAAATTCGGGTTAGCAGGTCGTCTTTCATCTCGCTTTCGGCGCGCTTCCTCCCGCAAACTTCCGTTTTCAAAATTCATGTGCCGAGGCTCTTCTCTCACCAATAATATCCCGAAATCTGGATATATGTTTTTCATGGCTCAGTCCTATAGGTTAGCAATTCGATTCGTTCCAGTTGAGCCTCTGTGAGCGTGAACTTAGCCACGTCTTTAACTGACCATATCGGGTTTTTGGGCGCTGTGCAGACTTCGGCACCGAATTTCACTTCAAAATTTTTAACAGTGCATCTGAATTTCCACCCAGCCGTGAACAAAGTTACGTGCAATGAGATGTGTTCTCGTATTAATTTTGGTTCTTACAGAAAGTGAGACAAAAATCCAAATTTTACGTTGAGCTCGGTATGAATTCTGTTGAATTTAAAAAGAGAAAACAAATGGAAAAACCCTGGAAGTCCAAGAATACACTGAAAAGTTGGGTTGTCCTTCCGCACTTCGTGTTTTACTCGTCATATTAATTAGGCATTTTACATTGGAGGACAAGGCGCGAGAAATACGTGTTTGAAGTTTCGAAATTACATGGATCCTAATGGCGGAAAGAAAGTTCAAACTGACTTCATGGCTGGAATTGGGGCGCGAATTTTTCACAGAATATGCCTTAGGACTAATCTCTCTTGAAATAATTAATATCTCCATTTTTTCAAAAACTGCACTCATGCGCCTTTTCCCCAAGCCCCTCATTTGTCGTGGACCCATCGCGGAAACGCGAAACGTATCGGATCGGATTTGCCTGATGACAGTTGTTGCGCGCGTGACTAATCGAATGCAGAGGAACGGATGATCGGTGTGCAACGGTGCAAGACCGTTGCGGCCCCGTTGCCTCCGATCATCAGTCTTTACGTAAGCAAGGCCGAGATTCAAGTGCAACGGCAACAACCGGATTTTTTTGTTTTTTTTTTGTTTTTTTCTTTACGAAATTATTACTTCATTTTGAAAACATTTATATTTTTATAACGTGACAAATATTTTTGTAAAACCTTTTCCAAGCGCAGTTGTGCCGACAGAAACTGCAAAAATGAATAAAAGAGGGAAAAAAAAACCAAGAAGCACGCAATCCTTAGTTTTAACCCATTTGCACATCGATCTTTTACAGTCAAATACGTCAAATTTTGAGCGTTTGGTTGCGCGTACACATCGCTGCAGCACAATAAAAGCACAAAATGTAAAAGAAAAAATGAAAGTGCTCTGGAAATCATTAAATTTGACACGGAACCACCAATATTTAAAAAACACACATTATATTATTATTCTCCTTTGATATATTGATACATATTATTTCCCATCAATTTAAATGAGAATAATCAATGCAGAGTGTGCAAACATTTCAAAATCCTGAGTTAAAAACGCTGACTATGCGAGTATAAATATTGAAGCCTAAGAGAGCGGCGCGGCGTGCTGCCAGCGCGAGAGGCTCACTGGCGCCTACAAACCTAAGTGGATACTTCACGCATTGCACAATGCTGGAAGTATCCACTTAGGTTTGTAGGCGCCAATCCGCGTCTCGCGCTGCCCGCCCGCCCGACGTGCGGCGGCGCCTGAAGCAACTATTTCACAACAGAGGTGTTGCACAGTATTATACGACATTGTATTATACTATGAAGGTGCCTCAGAACGTGGTTTCAAATGGTAACTCTAACTTTTACATTGGTTTGTTCCAGGTACAAATGCCAGTCAAATGGGGTGCCTATCACGATGACAACAGGATCGACGCTTCCTCTAGTATCGAGTACGAACAAGGATGCCGAATCGGGAGGCTACAACCCCTTCGAGCATCGGAAAGTCGCCCATCCGACCTCGTGAGTATTACTCGTCCTTGCCGTGGGCTTTTAAAAGTTGGCCACTTTATTTTGCCCCCATTTAAATCCATTGAAAATATCGCTTTTAGGCGGAGCAAGCTGCCTCACCAAGAATCGATTGTTTTACGTACATTTGGACGTAGTTCTACCAAACAGACCTATGTGGAAGTGAGAAATATGGGGTGTGCTCGTTAGTTCTCTTGCGTAAGAGTTAATGAGAATAATAAAGCGCCAGTGACGTCAGCGGTGACGACGGGTATCCTCTCGAAGGCGGGAACGTTCTTTAACTCATGAGCCCTGTCCACAAGGCTCTCTTGCCATGCCCGCGGCTCATGACTCCCGCGTTCAGTTGGCACATAGGTCTCTTTGATAGAATGCAATATCCCGCTTTTCCAATTCTTCAAAAAGAACCACGCCCACTTTTACATTGCTTCTTATGCAGATTTCTGGAGCATACCCCATATTTCTCACCGCCACATAGGTCTGTTTGGTAGAAATACGTCCATTTAAATGGAGGAAAACCGGTTTTGCCAACTTTCAAGAGTCTCGCCACTGGGTCCAGCGTCCAGCGGGCTCATTATCGAAATTGATAGACAAAGCAATAGACAAAGAAGACACAGGGAGTACGGAGCGATCCTTTTGGCTCAAACGGGTGGTTATCATACAAAAAGAGGACAAATGATGGACTAACTATAGGGTCTCTTGTGGGTTCCTGTTGGTTAGTCTATTAAACACTTACCTCCTTTGTCCATCACAACCACCCACTTTCATCGGTAGGATTGAAATTTTGTCCTGGGTCAAAGGAAACTATTTTCAGGACCCCTCCCTCCCCTCTAGGGGGACCTCTGAAAAGGGGCGAGAACAAAAGGGTAAATAGGGGTAGTGTGAGAAAGGATCACTCTGTAAAACTCGGAAAAATCAGGGTTTCCATCCGGGAATTTGTGAGTGGAAATCAAGGTAATATCGGATAATTTAATGAAACAAGAATTGAGGGGCTCAAGGGACGAGGCACATTACTGCAATTTTCCGCTATTTCGAGAAATATGTGTTTGAAGTTTCGAAATTGCATGGATCCTAATGGCGGAAAGCAAATTTAAACTGACTTTTTGATGCTTAAAATTTGGAATTCGGAAGCGAATTTTTCTCAGAATATGCATTAAGACAAGTTTTGCTTGAAATCATTGACACCTCATTTTTGTGTAACTACCTTCCTAATCTCTAATCACCTCTATTTTCAGGGACATGGAGACATTCATTCACCTGTTGAAAGGTAGTTTAGGCACTGGCATCCTTGCCATGCCGCTAGCTTTTTCAAATGCTGGACTATGGTTCGGTTTGGCCGCCACGTTTACTATTGGTTTAATCTGCACATACTGTGTTCACATTCTAGTAAGTTCAACTTTAATCTTACTCAATTTTTTTCCTCTATTATCTTAAGCCTTATTTCCCTTTTCTCTCCTTAAAATAAAATCAGAAGAAGATAACCATTTATTTACCAAAGCAACATGCCTCCTCTTAAATTTACTATGGTCCTTCATCATAATCAAAAAGAATTTTCTGTAGAGGTTTTGTGAAGGCTTCATAATTAAATTACAACACCAGCAAAGAGTATACCTATTTTTAGTTTGTTGTCTCTAAATTTTCGCTAATATGGAGTTGTTGATTTCAGGTGTATAATTAATATTGCAATAAAATTGTGAAATAACGACTATGTTTTTCCAATATTACTGTCGTTTCTCAGTATGAGCCACAATAATTTTTTTTGTTTTTTTTCTTCAAGAATAAAAATTGTTGTTGAATATTGTTGTCAGGAAGAATATTGTAATCATTTAGGGCTTCAAAATTCCGAAATTTTTCGGGAAAGAGAGTTAGTTTTTCTGAGCCAGATTTACATAAAAATCATCCAAACTTTGCTGCACCAAATTTAGTCCCTAGCTCTGTTTGGTCGGAAAATGAAAAAAAGAAAGAGGACAAAAACGATACTTATATTTAATACCCAAGATAAATATCCAAGTATTTTTCTTTTAAAAATATGGAAACTATAGTCTCTCAATAGTTACCTAGTCTAAAAACAGCAAAACAATTAGGCAAAGATTTTGCGTTTTCATTACAATTTTTGACCAGCGGAAACCTAATTGGTTAAATAAAAATTACGATAAGATTACCTACAATTTTATTGCGATTTCTTGGGGGAAAAGCACAGTTATATTTCCGCACAGAAAAAGTGCTATTTTCTGGCAATAGGTAACTATTGTGATATATTGTAGTCCATGTTTTTTAAGAAATCGTTTAATTAATTAACACCCGCCTAGCTGATTTGCTCATTATGTAGAACTTTTCACAAAAAATAGGCAATTTAGTTCTTGCTTAAACCAACAGTATAGATACTCATGTAGAAAATTTTTTAAGTTGTAACCTTTTTTAATTAATGTATTTTCTTTCCTAGGTAAAATCCTCGCATATATTGTGTAGGAGAATGAAAGTTCCGTCCTTGAGTTTTGCGGATATTGCTGAAGTTGCTTTCCTAGCAGGACCTACTTCTGTTCAGGGTTTTGCTGCCTTCTCTAGGTAAGAAGATTTTTCCTTTGATTTCCCTCACGAGGCTCAGTTTTTATGGAAGCCTTAAAGTTGTGATTCTGGTTAAGTAGGTAGGTATAGAAAACAAAAATGTCCAGTAGGGACAAGTTGTACCGTTAAATGAGGCAAACCGTCCATACTTTTTTGAGGAAACATTCATGATTGGATTCACGATGGCATCGCTTCCCCTCCCTCTAATTTTAGCTGTATTTAGTTATTGGCGTCTGGGGATGCACACTGCTGCAAAGGTACAATAGATGAATGTTGAAATTATCGGGGTTATTTGCCAAGAGCGGGTTTTACCTCTAAGCTATTTCTTGAGCCTTCTAAGCCGTGCTCAAGTCAACAAATTCAGTTTCAGCACTCTGGTTTTATCTTACTCTCTCTTGCCAAGGCTTTTTACTCTCTGACATTATCTCTGAGATAATTAACTTGAAAAAAGAAATTGCTTTAAATCAGGTTAAAGAGAAAGGAATTTCTGTCTAAATGTTCGATGTTTTCCTCCAAATCTTGGGGAGAAGATGGCGAAGAGTGGCTAAATTTCAATACTGTTAGGAAAATTAGTTATTCATGTTGTAATAGAGCCATTTCGCCTGTATGTGACCCCACTGTTTGGGAAGTGTCATTGCTTTACAGGAGATTTAGTTAGTTAGTTAGTTAGTGCTCAAACCAAGTAGGTGACCATGAATACCTACGTAGTTCAAAATTGTACCTGCTGTTTACTTAATTTTAGTGTATTGCAATGTCTTTTTATCTAAAATTTCCTCTCTTTTTCAGGTCTATGGTTAATTTGTTCCTCGTAATTGATTTGCTTGGTTGCTGTTGTGTCTATTTGGTTTTTGTCGCTAAAAATATCAAGCAGGTATGGTTTTAGTCTGCGGTTTTTTATTCATTTTAAGTTGAGATGTTCCTTTTGTTTACTTTATCATTAAAAACTTCCCTTGATTCTCACTGTATCCTCTTTGGGAGTCGAAAGTAGTTCATCTGCTGGAGCATGTTGAACGCCAAAAAAACCTTGTATCTTTGTTTGCGATGTTGTAGACTTCCTAACATACTTCATTCACTCTCTCTTTGGAAAACCAGCCAATCGAATTACTTCGAAACTTCCTTGATTTTTCTTCCCTGTTAGCAGAATATATTCGGTACAGATTTTAAGCAATGAAATTGGCTTGTCTCGCTTCCAAAAAATAGAAGAGGAGCAGAAATTTTGAAACCTCACGATGGAGACACAAGGTTTTGCACTAAGGCCATCACGTGATCAGGCTTTGTGAAGAGTATGACATCCTGATTAAATATTACATACCATGAATTTTCAATGACTTTGTCACAGATTTTTCCACAAAACTCCAAAAATAATAATCACTGGAAATTGTCAAACGGAAGAAACTGAGCTTTGATATTGCATATATACCTCACTAAGAAGAACGCAGAGCAAACATGATGAATTTCTAAATTATAAACTTAAATTCAATTCGAAAAACACTAATTCCTCATGTATTTACTAAGAATTGAAATCAGTAATTTTCAATAATCTCACGATGCTCTGTGCAAAATTTTGGGAAGCTAAGCTGAGATTTTGATGCTTGGTTGCTGATACTCTATTTAGTAGACCCCAAGGCAAAACTACCCATTGATAACTGTATCAAAACAGGCAACAACCTAACAGAACCAAATTTTTTTTCAGGTTGTTGATGTATACGCAGGGGCAGAGTTTGATGTACGATGGTACATCCTGTCCATTCTGCCTCTATTGATTGCAATCAACTTGATCCGGAACCTGAAATATTTAGCCCCGTTTTCCATGATTTCAAACCTGCTGGTTGGAATTGGGATAACGATTACTTTCTACTACATGTTCAAGGACTTACCTTCGTTGGACTCGGTTCCACACCAGCACTTCTCATCCTTTGAGCAGCTTCCGCTCTTTTTTGGCACAGCTATTTTTGCCTTGGAAGGAATCGGTGTTGTAAGTATTTACTTTTCTATCAGCAGTGCGAAAAGGTTACAAGACGCGAACTGTTTTTTGTGATCAGGCATTTCTGCTCAAAGAAAAAATCTTCAATTTTCCTCATTTTTTTTTTAAATTAACAAGCAAAAAGAAGAAAAAAAATTACCACTTTGTGAAATTTTTTTTACATTCCAAACAAAACTCAATCGTATAGACCTAACGTTGTGCCACAAGAGCATCTTTATACTCGACTTTTCAGCCCAATGTGGAAATCAAAGTATTGGAAAGAAAGGAACATTTGAGCCAGAATTTAGATCTAAATTAGAACATCTCTATCTAACTTACTCTTGGGTGCAGAATCGATCCTATCAGTCATTAGCAAAAATCAGTGCTCTGACTCAGAAGGCATTTAAGTAGAATTCATCTTGTTAATTTCTCTTCAGAAGTGCAAAATGTTAGTAACGAAATTTCTCTACCCCCTCATGCTGCAGCCTTTCCAATGATACACTCGCTATTTCGAGGGGACAAAAAATTATTTGAATCATTCTGAATCATTTCTTCCTTATCATCTCTGTTTCTTGTCCCTAGCCCACATTTAAAATTTTTAAAAATACCCATCTCCTGAAGATCTCCTATAATCAAGGACCAGAAAGATTAGAGCCTTCCTATTCCCAACAAATGAAATGCAGGACTCTTGATTCCCAGAGGTGTAAGATGGAACCAGAGTACAACCATTTTGTGTCATGCGGCTCTGCAGGGACAGTCTAATGGTTCTCTGTGTTTGAACCGGTAAATAAACTCACTCTCATGGGACAGGAAAATTTAAGTGAATGTAAAATGCAACAATTTCCAAAATTCTTTCATTTTTTAATATTTAAAGATTAAGTTCTAGGGAGTGTACAAATTAATTTTTATCTCCCAAAATATCGAGGTTTATAGAAAGGTGGGCCGTCCATAGAGTATGTAATATGTCACTGGGTGTTCTTAACAGAGTGGTGCTTTACTATTTTTTAAATATGATTTTGCGCTAAATTTGATTTTGAATGTTTGAAAAACTGCAAGGTCTGCCCTCTCATTTTATGTATCATCTGCAGTATCATTTTCTTCAGTAATCAAAGTAATATTGACAAATTTGACATGTTGTCATTGTTACTTAATTCCGTAGCATCTTTGGAAAACTTGGGAATCGTCACATAATTTATGGATGGACCTATGAGTAGAGAAGGAAATTATTTTGCTTCAAAGAAACAATTTAAAATGTGACATGAAGTATTTGAGTGAAATACCTACCTAAGTGGAAGTTACTCTGGAAACTTTACAATGCACCATATTTTTTTGCAGAAACAAAACAGAGTTTATTGCAACAAAATTTCTCTGAAATTAATCTTTTGAAATCATTTAAAATTTAACAAATAACTCATACACACCTCATATTATTTTTGAACACTTAGTATGGAGTTACAGTTCCAATCGAAAAATGTTTTGGAACTTGAGTAGGCTTCTATCTTAATCCTACTCATCCATTAAAGATTATTTCTTAATGAAGGTGAACCAGATTTTTAGATAATTTCATTTATGCATGTAATAAACTCCTAGAAGAAAGATTATATGATTTTATGGCTTCTGGAAATCTTTCCTGCGATAATTTTTCTTTGTCAATAGAATCGTTTTATTTAACTACTACTTCATTAATATCTCCTGGATTACGCCATGGCCTTCATTTTAGTTGGCTCCTGTATCTGTGGTGTTTTTGTCTTATTTTGATGCTTCTCAGCTGTTGTCTAAAGTGTAACAGTTTCATCTACAGGAATTCCTGCTTTTATATTTTTAAGTCATGAAAAATATAATTTAATTCATTTTACCTCCAGGTGATGCCATTGGAGAATAACATGAAAAAGCCACAGCATTTGATCGGATGTCCAGGAGTGTTGAACACAGGCATGTTTTTGGTCATCAGTTTGTATTCTGGAGTCGGATTCTTTGGATACTTGAAGTATGGCAGTAAAACGGAACCGAGCATCACGTTGAACCTGCCTCAACATGAGCTGTGAGTATTAATTTTCCTCTTAAGTTATATTTCCTTAGAGTGTCAGTAAAAATCTCTGCAAGGAATCAAATGCAAGAAAATAACCAAATTTAATTTTTTAAATTCAATATTGAATGAAACTTCAATTTAGTAAAAAAAAAAAAAAAATGCCGCCTTTGTATGCAGGGTTTCTGATGGTGTGAAAAACCTGGAAAGTCAGGGAATTGTTGGTGACCAGGAAACATCAGGGAAAATTAAAGAAAGTTAGGAAACGTGGAAAACCTAGAAAAGTCGAGGAATTCATAGAAATAATCAGGAATTTTTGCAAGTAGCGCATCAGCTCATTGTCAGTACCTACAGCCAACCTACAGCCAGCACTACCACTGTGGAGAGTGCTAACATGCCTTTCAAGCACCTTCAAGAAGTAGAAATTTTTCCTGAAGTTTAGTAAATGTCTGTGCAGTTAAAAGAAACAAAATCCAAGAGGAAGTTCTCCTCCAAGGTCAGGAAAAGTGAGAGAATCTGGTAATCTTGGAGTCGTACAACAGCAATAAAAGTCAGGGAATTAGGGAGATTTTATGGAAACCCTGTAAATTATGTAACTTGTGATTTTCTCAAGCAAAGTTACCAGGTTATATTATAAAATGTGGAGATTTTATGTAGAGTTAATCGTTGGAAAATACAATATTTCAGCACAATCTATCAGCAATGGCCAGGAGTAAAGAGACCCTATTGCCTGAAGGCAAACTTTGCAAAAAGGAATTCTCTTCAACTTGGGTACCTACCCTTATTAATGAGAGTTCGAGTTTCCAATGGAAATGACTCTCTAGTATCTCATAGATCAGTTACAAATAGCCCTCTTTTTTCTTTCTCTTTTTTCTTTTTTGCTAACAGAGAGCTTAAATTCGCAGTGTAATTGGACAATTTTGAGATTCGAATTTAATAATTAAAATTGTAAATATTTGAACAGAGGTTCAACTAGCATAGTCACAAGAAACTACTTTTGAAACTACAAAGAAACTTTTTAAACTTGAACTTCAAAGTGTCTACATTATTTAGTGGCTTTTGCGCCAAAATGTCTTTTGAGACATCTTTCTGAGCAGTGATACCAATTTGTACATTTTTATTCTGTTAATCCTAAGATCCCTTTCTCTGTGAATGGCTAAAGATGTTGTACTCCGGCTCCCGAACAAATTATTTTACTCTTTTATACAAGAGTATAAAAGAGTAAAATATACATACATATTTCTGACATACATATACATATTTTCTGTTTTATGTTCTCAGGTTAGGGCAAAGTGTAAAACTTATGATGGCTGTTGCTATTTTCTTGACGTACGCTCTGCAGTTCTACGTACCATTCGAAATCATCTGGAAATCAGTAAAACATCGATTCACCTCCAAGCCAAAGACTGCCGAATACAGCTTGCGTGTAGGACTGGTGGTTGGAACAGGTATGAGATATTCTCTGTTTACCTACTATCATTTAATAGACAAAATTACACAGGAGGGGTACATCTACAACGAGAGTTGAACAAAACAAGATACTCTCCTTTCTAGTCCTTTTTGCAAAAATTATTTTGTCGATAGAAATTCTCTGTCAAGTTTTTATATCAATAGTACCAACTATTATTTTGACTGACATCCGTGCAAAAGTACCAGATGTATGAACATTCTTTTTTTAATAAATGAAAATAAAGGGGGAAAAAAAACCTTAAAAATGTTTATCTTGATATGATGTTTCAGAATGTCCCCAGACAATTTATTTTGCTAAGAAAGTATCATACCTAACATGCACTGGTATTTTTAAGTATAACTGAATGCAGTACCTGGTTAATACATGCAAGTATCAATATTCATATGCCTCCATTGTATCCTTTTTCCAATTTTATTAAACTCCCACTGTTTGCCGCACAAAAAATAGAAAAGATCATTTTGCTAATGACCTGTGCAATGTCTGTTTTGCATCAACAAAAATAATTTTTAGATTTCAACAAAATTCTGATGCCATATGAATTGTGACTCCTTGCAAGAAATAGCTGTTCCTTCATTAAAACGTCTTTTTCATTCTTTTCCAGTTGTTTTGGCTATAACTTTCCCAGAACTGGGTCCTTTCATCTCTTTGGTGGGTGCATTGTGTTTATCGACGCTTGGACTCATGTTCCCTGCAATCATTGAACTGGTAATCTACTGGGAAGAACCTGGAATGGGCGCCTACAACTGGAGGCTATACAAGAACCTCGCCATTATCGCTTTTGGACTTCTTGGCCTGGTAACAGGGACATATACGAGTCTCTGGGAAATGGGAATGGGTAATGCCCATTAAAGCTAGTAGAAAGCGCGTAATTTTGCTCCAAGGTATTATCTTTTCACGATGACTCAGAAGTTCCACTCTATTTCTCAAAGATCTTCCAAGGGCTATCGCCCTTGCTCTATGCTCAGTTGTTAATCACACTGACTCCTCCACAAACCCTTGTTTTCTATTTTGTTTGTATTTTGCTGTGAAGCAAAACTATTCAAGAGTGAATCTTAGGCATACCTCTTAGTTGTTGTGTTAATGTATTGAATAATTTTTATTCAAGGATTCGGAACGTTCAGTTCCAGTTGTAGAATTTTGAGTTTTGTTTTGTATATAGTAGGTTGTAAATTTGTAAATATTTTGCATCATTGTTTATTTTGAGGTAATTTATATTATGTAAAGAGATTGGTTCCAACTGTAATCACAGCCAAACACTCGATTCAACAAACTCAGCTGGATGAGTTTTCTTGTTTTTAATTTTTTTCTCATGAATACTGAGAAATGCTCTTGTCAAATTAATTTTAGCTTGGCTCATCTCATTCTTTGTTGCTTCTCTGATATCTCTTTATATCATGAGCTCAACTCGTACCTTCCAATGGGATTTTTTGTAACCAGCTGATTGTAGGTGTCTCGAGAATGAGGTCATAGACCAAATAATCATTGTTCAACTCAGCAAGTGCCTGAAATATATAAAGTAAAACCTCAATATGTTGCTCAAAATATTTGCACAAACTCTGCAGTTAACCCATTTTTTATACAGAATCCATTCAGTCTTTTTCTTACGAATAGTAAGACACCCTCTATTATTTTTCCTGTCTTTCTGCTTTAAAATGTGACCGATATTGACTAATTACTCAAACAAGATTCAGGGACTACCAGACAATGTCAATTAGAAAACATTGCCCAAGTTAGGTTACTTACTTGTGTTTTTAATTAGGGTTTAATAAAGGATCAAAGTAAAGGAATTGCAGCTTTGTTACCAGAAAAGTCACGGCTATAGGAAAATTGGAGGCGAGAATATGACCATGTGATGCAGGCCTTAAAAAGATGCAAGATGATGAAAAAATTTCTGAGACAGTTAACTAAATGTTTACCGATGTTAAACGTAGTTGAACACTCTTGCGAGTTAGGCTCATAAATTCTGTCGATGGAAGTTACAAACCTGTCTCGTACTTAGGCTTCTGGGAAAGCCAAATAAAATTTACAGAAAATGGTTGAATGGATTTGTTCTAAGTCGTTGAAAAGGCTTTGTCTCCTGAAAATATTACCATTACATTTTCTTTTAGCAAAGCTGTTAATATTGTATTCAATTATTGCCCTATCCTAGTGGTATCTTCTCATCAGTCAGCATAGTAGCAAAATGTACTTTTTCTCTTTGTAAAAGATGGCCTCCAGAGTCATCAGGTAAGAGCTTTTGTTGGGAAATTTTGAAAAGCGTTTCGATCAAAAGGTAACCAATCCAAATAAAAAACTCAATGCAATATAACCAAAACCAACCATCGCATAAAACTCTCCCCCTCTTGTTAGAAAATGTGTCATTTGGTTAAGTTATTAGTTAAAAGGCAAATAAGGAAATTGGAAGTAGTCGCAGGGTGCACTTCTTTGTAAATGGAATAATTAAATTATGCAACTTTACGATGTCTCAAATGTCTTGTGGCTAAGACTGCGCTATGGTTTATTCAACAGGAATCCAGCTGCCAAAGAATAGGTAACAATTCTCAATCTCAAATTAAGACTTCAATTTAGTGAAAACTTTCCAATAAACACGAGGTAATTTAATCCATATTAAGAAATACTGCACTCAGTAGATGCGACATCCGATGAAGCCTAGGACATTTTGAATTTTCACCTGACAAATGACACAAAATGTTCAGATGGGGCTGGGCCCCATTAACATCCCAACAGAGAATATAACACAGCAACTCCCTATTCTTTTATCATGTTTTCAAATTATCTGCCTTGTCCAAAGTGGCACTCCAAGCAGTGTTTTCCGCTTCAATTTTTTACATCAGTGAGTTTTTTCTTTAACTTTATCTCACAATATGGCTATAGTAATACTGAAAATCGTTTTTATTTTAATTATCGCTTTATCTTCCACAATTATTTTTGTAAGTGTATTGGCTGTTTTTTACATGAAAGTACCATCTCTAAAAATTTGTGATGGCTAACTTGTTACAAGTTCGCGAATAGATTGTATATTTTTTTAATTAATTTTGTAAGATTGAATAGTGTAAGTTTGTTTTTATAATTATTGTTACTAATCAATAGAATTCTCTGTAATCACGTAGGACCACCTCTGCTTTAACCGTCTCTGCAGGCTTGACTGTCTCTGAGGCTTTTATCATCGGTTAATTTTAGTTTCCATTGTTCAAGCGTATTTGTAGGTGAGTTTAATCCAAAATCCAGTACTATATTTTAACCATGAGAATGAATTGAGTTTTTTTTTATAAGTTTGTTTGACTAGGATTTAATGCAGCGACCCGCATTGTGATAAGTATGTGTAAGGTTAATTTTTTTTTTCACTCTCTCCCATTTTTATCATACAGCAGTCACATTTGCGTTTATCTATGACTTTGATTTTATTTTAACTTTCAACTCTTTGGAAAGCATCAATCACACTTTGGTAGCCATTCAGTATATTTAAAAGTTGTCCACAGTTATTTTTTACCCTGTTAAACCTAAAATTTAATTATTATTACTTTTACCCAACCTATGATTTGTCATGGTATCAGAAAACGCGTCTTATTCTCTTGATTTTTCAAATCCAGTTAAAATAGTGAGCCCCATGACAAGCCCAATTTGTGTATTCAGGTTCTAACGGATTAAGTCAATTAATTTCTATGGTCACTGCAGTGTTTTTAAAACACCACCCTCATTTAAAAATAAAAATAGTAGCCAGAAACTCCCCCCTCCTTTTTTTACTCAAATTTTCTGACTCAGTGAGAATAATTCTAAAACTTCCGAGACCAACCTACTGCATGAAGATTTTTTATGGATCATTGACGAAGTTTCTCAATTTTAACTTGTACTTTCCAAAGCTCAACAATATGTCATCGAACATCAGCTCATTAAAAGTTGAAGTGAATTTTAAGAATCAAAAATATTGTATTATTTGCGTCCTATCTTTAACATGGATATTGTGATCCTCGAAATTCGTGCTTAGATTAGGAAAACGCCTGTCATCTAGGAATGGGGCGTATCATAGCTCTTAGCGTATATCTGTCAATTGTTTACTTAGTCCTCCCGCTTTAATGAGCGAGATTGATTGATACCGGTGCTTTTGAAGAAAAATAAGTCATTCTTTTGTTGTCTAATTTCTTTTATCTTGTTTTTAAGTGAGATCAAGGCCTTACAGTCTCGAGAAAGCAGACTTTATAAGGGTTTATGTGTGCTGGTAATGAGTTGTCAATTGTAGACTGTACGGACATAGAGATTGATGAGCAAATGGAAATTTTTTCAATTCTTGCAGCAAATGAATCTTCACCTCTGAGCAGCTGATTGAGCCTACAGCACATGCTAAAATGGGAGTTGAGATTAGGGGTCCCTGGGTTAGTGAATGGGTCACTTAAATTCGCAGGATTTTGTGCAGATTGCATTAATCAGTAAGATCAGGTCACAACAGGTATCAACCTAACTGACGTAAGGATCAGAGCACTTCAATTCCATGAAATTGAGACTGTTGAACAATGACAATGGATACTTATTTTCAGCTCTCATTTTTAGCATGTGAAGTGGATTTAATGATGTCTTCATGCTCAGAAGCAATGTAATGATGCAAAAAAAACAGTTAGCATACTTGAAAGTGTCAAAAAATCATTGACTCAGTCTTTACCATGTATTTTTGCAAACGGTAAACCTTTTTGCAGCCTTCGGGAACAGCAACTCAACTGTGCGTATGTTCCCCTTGCTCTAGGAAAAAACAGGTTTCTAGTTCTGAAGTACTGGTAGACTTTCCTGTAAGGCCGTGTATCTTAAATTGGTACAAAATTTAAGTTTAACAAATTTTTCTTGTTTCTTGATACAACTGCTGTATCAGTTCTCCTTGTGAATGAAAGTACATATTGAAATTGCGAACTATATTACAAAGAGAAACTTTCACTTATCAGCCTGCATCAAATGTTTACTGTTTCATTATTTTCATCTTTGAAATTATGATGTATTACTGAATCTTTATCAATAGAACTAGTTCCAGTAATGATTGTTTTTCATCGAGTTTTATAGTTGTGCCATTGACTCTAGTGATTATGTAGTTCAAAATTAATGGTCAATCCTAATTTTTAGCTCAAGCTTGCGTGTAGGAAATTGTACTTTTTCAAATGCCCATCTAAACTTAGTTCATCCAGTTTGTAATTTTAAATTTTGTAACTCCCGATTCATTCCAAAAAAAATTTGCAACTGTTCTCTTCTCCAAGAAGCCTGAAATCTGATAATATTTAATAAAATGCCTTTCTAACGCCGAATACAATCCCTTCATTTTGTAAAATGATTTTGAAATCACCCTTTGGAGTCAAAAATGAAGTATTGTCATCTCAGGAAACTGAATTCACGTCGGTGGCATCTTAACGCCTTGAAAAGTGTGAGTACAACTGTAATAATTTGAATATAATCCTATCCCTTTGCTATCTGCGGCAAATAAATGTAACTCAATTAGGCATTGATATTTTACAGGCTTCTGAAATTTTTAATAAAAATTATTTTGAAAAAAAATTTTGAAACTTTAATACTTCCAAAATCAATATGTAATCTTCTCTGCACAGGATAAATATGTTTTTCCATTTCATACTGTGAGCTTTGCTTTCCAAAATAATTTATGCTCTGTGCAGTTTTTTCAAATACACTCATTCATTCGCTCAAGTTCAGATTGAGACAACTGTTCCGTCAGGAGCTTTTGTGCCGTTTTGCAGCATATCTGTTCAATAGGGATAAATTAAGTTTTTCAACTGTGATATTTGTTCTTAATTCAGTTTATGCGCTTATTAAATTATTAATGAGTTGTTGCGAGTATGGTCTTCATGTTTTCCCACCTTCCCGAGTCTTTAGCGCTTTTTGTTTGGGAGGCTTCAAAGATGGAAAGGACACATCTGAAATTCGAGGTAGTGAATGGAAGATCCAAAACCATCTTTCAAGGGTGGAGTTGAATCAGGGTCTGCCATAAATCTTATCTCACCCATTTTTCCATTAATGATTCAACACAGTCCTGAACAGTATGTTCCAAGAGGTAATTGTGGGGGAAACGTACCTTCGGTCATTCCCTGGTAGCAGAACTTCTGAAAAATTAGTTTTCAGAAAAGAGTCAAGTACAACACAATGAGGGCACTAAAAATGCTTAAAATCCAATCGGATTTATGTAACATTTAGACTTATTTCTATCAAACAGATTTATGTGCAGGTGAGAAATATGGGATGTGCTCGTCAGTTCTATGGCCGTAAGAGTGAATGAGAATAATAAAGCGCCAGTGACGTCAACGGAGATGGATGCCGCCGTCGCGGTTGCAGTCATCAACTCATAAGCCCCGGCCACAACGCTCTCGTGCCATGCCTGCAGCTCATATATCCCGCATTCAGTTGGCACATAGTTCTGTTTGCTGAATTTAAAATTTTGCTTTTCCAATTCTTCAAAAGGAATCACGCCCACTTTTAAATTGTTTCTTATGCAGCTTTCTAGAGCACACCCCATATTTCTCACCTGCACATAGTTCTGTTTGATAGAAATATGTCCATTTAAAGTTCAGTGATTACAGTAGAATAAAAGTCATAAAATTTTACTTAATCCTAAATCCTAACCCCCAAAAGTCTCATCAACGCTTTGTGCACTATGATTCACTTTAATTATCTTAGTATCATTAGATCATATTCAAATTAAATGTTACTCATAAAGTTCCAAGCTTTTACCTTGCTAAAATATGTACCCTCGTATGAAGCGGAAAGTCATTCCGCCTTTTATTTATTTTCAATCAATTTTTGGTGAACTTTTACTGAAATTAATTCTCAAGAAGTTCTGTTATCTAGAATAATGAGAGTTAGACTTTAATTTTATTTGACCAAAATTGAGGTAAATCATTTTAGCATGGAAGATAACGCAGTGCATGAGGAAAATGAGCTGAGACAAGTCAATTTTAAAATTCTCTTCAAACCTTAGAAATGAGCCTAAGTTCAAAACTGAGATGAAAAAAATATGACAGCATTAGTTAGTGAGACTGTGAAATGAAGGACAAAAATTGAATCAGTTTTATCGTAATTGCGCTATGTCATGGACAGTCTTGCAGCTAAGTAATCTCATCTACAATACCCTTTTGTAACAGTCGGTAAGCTCTTTGTGGCAGGCATAGATTTCCTCAGAATGGCACAAGTAGGTAAGTCATTTGCTTAAAGATGTCCAATGAAGGATCTGTTATCACCCACTGACACCCTCTCATTCGCATGAGAGTCATACACATTTAGATCAAGATCCAAATTTGACCCCTGCCCCTCCATAATTTGTTCCTGCTACTATCAGCAGAGAAGAAACTGGCCTCCTTTAAATGCCACTGTGGGCGTTTTCTCCACATATTAAGAGCCAGACTGGTGCTGTCCAAATTAGTTTTGAACAAAATAAAGTATCAATACATCAAACATTTTGTCTGTCGAAAGCTCAATTTTTTCTACTCGCCAATAGGTAATTATCAATCAGACTTAGCTTCCATTTTATCTATTTTATTACAAGTTAAGGGGCTGTTCATAAAATACGTGAGACTGAAAATTGGATTTTTTATCCCCCATCTAACTCGGGTCGTAACACAGCTGTACACCCCCCTAAAAAAATAACGTAATGCTCAGTTTCACATCAGCATTTTGTAATGAATTTTAGATGACAAAATGGTCTTATCGATTTTTCATCTAAGATTTATAAGAAATCAGTATTATATATCAGGTCTAGCGTTATTTATTGCAGTCCGGAACGCACCCTTTCTCTGTAACACATCCGGAATGCACACCCCGGATGCCTCCCTCCTCAGCATCACTTGTTTTATGAATGGCCCCTGATAATTATTTTAATTATTATTTATTCTACAACAATCAATATTTATTTTCCTTCATCATCTATTGACAAGGAAACTACAGTTACATGTATGTCGCAAGAGCAAAGAAAAATTTCAAATTTTTATGCATTGACAATAATTAGTTCAACTCTAGAAGAGTGAAATACAACATAAAACCTGGAATGTCAGCAATTGGAATATGCGGTTTTGTTCTTTCACCATTGAAATGTAACCAACGATTCTAAAAGGAGCCTCAGTGCAGAAAAAATGGACTGCATTTTGTCACAGGGAACTACTCCATTTAGCTCATTTCAAAAACAATGTATGGCTGGTAACGCTGTCATGAAGATGTGCAATTTTTATTTCTTTGGCCATTCTCTGATAAAGCATGCAAAATCTATTATCTTGTGTTGGTATTACACAAAATGTCACCACAGCACTTCAAAAAACGATCCAAGGTTATGTGGATCAATTTGAATCGTTAATCATTAATTTGATATCGTATAAGTTCATGTCAATTCATTTCATTTAAATACATTTATTTATTTATTTTTTTTTATCAAAGACTGATTGTTGTTAGTGCTTGTAGGAAGTAGCTTCAGTAGCTTAAGTCAAAAGGTTCAAATTGCTTTTCATTAAAAGCTTCTATGAATTAATTTTCCCTACCATATTTTGGTGATGAAACAGAGAAGTTTGTAGCTCTACTATAGTATTTCACAGCTCCCTCTCTTAATTTTTAAAAAGAGAGTTGAATGATGTCTTTGCATGAGGTTTTTAGGATACTTCTAGTGAGGTGCAGTTCAAGAACAATTAGTATGGGCGCATTAAAATAGAACACAACCAGGGAAATAAAGAGTTGTCGAAATGCAGCGCTCTCCAGTTACACCATCAATATTTCGATGGTGAAACTGCAGAAATGCGTATCTCGGTTTGCGGCGTTACAGACTTCCTGTCATACTTTATTTTCTACATGAAAAACTATACTGATGCTATCATTTTTTGAAAAATTCAGCGATTTTTCCTCCCTTTATCAGGAATATTCTGTAAAAATATCAAGTTATGATTTTGGTTCAGCCTCCTTTAAAAAAATAAAATAGGTGCCGAGATTTCCAAACAGTGCAACCGAGATACGCATTTTTGCAGTTTCACCGTCAATAGGTATGCTCCACAATTAAATACAATGCTAATATAATATGTATGCTAATAATCATTTTTTCCTTGGAAAAGTTGTAGAAAATGATTCCTAAAAGGTCTTATGGAGTTGATACAATTGCCAAATATCCAGTATTTTTAAAATAGTTTTCCTTCTCCAAGTGCAGTAACACAAAAGAAATCATAAAAAAACTAAAAATTTTTATAGGCCCAAAATCATGAAAAAAGTTCTTGAAATGTAAAAGGAAAGAACCCCTTTTTTGTTAGGTATTTTTTACGAACTCCACCTTGCTTTAACATCAAGTTCTTAGTTTCACCAAATTTTAACAAAAATTTACCACACAATTTTAGTTTTGTATGTTGCATTTATCACATTTTATTTTGCGTCTTGCATCACTATCCCTCGAATAGATGCTTCCAAGAAGTACTTGTTCAAAAAAGAATTTGTCAATACTGATGGTTGAAATTAGTGTACTTACCCTGCTGCTCTTTCTCGCATTTTTGGGGATAAACCGATTCTTTTCTTGATTCAGTTAGAAATTAATTACCCATTTAAAATTGCCTCTTAGGCGGATTGTCAGGGCTTGATTGTAAAAGCGCTAAGGCTCAATGGCTGAGGAAAAAAAGGTGATTGAAAATTAATATTTCAAGACGAGGTCACAATCTGTCACTTTTTCCTGAAATATCACATAAATTTGTATGCTCCCATTGAGAAGTATGTTCTGAAATCTTATCAAGTCATTTACCTGTCACTTTGCTCCATTTCCTGTGAAAAGATGAAGTGCACGCAAATATTTTGAAACTTTTTAATCCTTGATTTTTAAAATCGTCTTTTCACTCTTGTTTTAATTGGATGCATTTATGCTAGAAGGAACTTTGTTGCATGTAAATCCTGTGCACATAAATCCTTTTAGCATAAATACGTCTAATTTAAAAAGCTGTTCATCTTAAAATTCTGGAGTTCAGTATTATGATTGAAGAATTGCAATCTGAGTTAGGCAAATTGCAATCTGAGTTAGGCAAATTTTACTATTCAAATGCTTATTAATTATTGGTCAGCAGAGGTATATCTTCTTTTTCACTCCAGTATATAGCTGCACAAACATTTTTGTCTGGACAAAGTTTCTTTTAGGGTCAAAATTTTACCGGTTGCAATGGACTGGTTAGGTAGTTGCTATGTCATTCAGTCTATAACACCGTTAAATCACGAAGCACTGAAAAACAATCTACATCAAACCCATTTATTTGTTCTGGTGGAATAATCAAATGTATCAAATATGGAATGATGAAGTCTCAAAGTCAGTATAATGGCAACCAGGTTGGTCATATCAACCTCCAAGTTCAACTTAAAATTCCATGAGTAAAATTTTTTATTGCAGCTGACCGCAAATAGCTGCAGTTTTCTGCCATAAAAATTATGACCCGCATCTTCACAGTCAATACTTATGAGAGGCCTCTCGGAAAAATTAGAGCTTTATAATTTAAACAGATGCAGTAATTTATTTTCAACTATAAATAGTATTCCGTACAGAAGCATTATGCACCTTGAATAGTATCCCTTGATTTATTATCCCCTGTACATAAATCAAATAAAACCGAAAAAATTAGCGATTTCCTTCTAATTTGTTATTATATCTTCCATAGCATGTACTGAAATATTTGTATCTAATTGTTGAGGCATTTTGCACAATAATTTTGAACAAACAGAAAACAATAATTGATTTAAAAGTCAAATATAACATATTTTATCAACTCAAAGTCGTTTATTTTTTTTTCACTCATTGACTTCTTGAATGTAGAGACAGCTTGATAATCATCGCTGAAATGGTACCTAGTTTTTTCTTGGTTTATTCAAAGTTTGCTACATCAATAGTTCCAAACTTGTGTGGCATTCAAACTCCTTTGGTACTGGCAATCTAAGAAAATATTAACTTTTGATGGCCAAAATGCCAAATCACATTTCTCCATTGCGGTGTTTCAAAATCTTTGCTCCTGTTCTACTTTTTTGAAGCAAACTAAGCTATTCTTACGAGATATTTTTATTGTTATTTTATTTTTATTGAGCTATTTTTTTATTTAAGTTTATAAAAAAAAAAAAAAGAAAAAATAACAGAAAATTATGAAAAAATGAAAAAAAGAAAATTATGAAAAAAATGAAAGAAAATGACAGTTGTACAGTTTTTATGTAGAAAATTATGCTAACAGAGAATAAAAATCAATGAAATTTTCAAAAAATCATTTATGTTGGCTGGTTCCAAAGAAAAAACTGAATTTGATAGGAAGTGTGCAACATTGCAAACGGTGATACGATACCTATGTGGTTTTGCACCATGCCTATCGACATTTGGACCGGGTTAAGCAGAAAGGAACCAAGCCACATCAACGCTTGCCAAATTTAAGTGGGCAATTTAATTTTTTTACATGTAAACGGTTGTGCGGATTTTTGTGCAAGTTTCATCGAATTTTCCGCCTAGTTTGAAGCAAATATCTTAAAATGTTCAAAGAAATCCGCACAAACGTTCTCTCATAAAATATTAAATTTCCCAGTAAAATTTGAGAAGAGCTGATGTGGCTTGGTTCCTTTCTGCTAAACGCGGTCCCTTCAATGAACCTCTAGGATCGAATACTCACTTTGTGCAAATTCCTTGGCCCGAAATATTCCCTGAACACTTATTAAAATTATGAACATGTTTGTGTGGAAAATGAAATATCAGTGAATTCAGAAAAAATCTAGGTTGACCCTTTGGTGAACACACTGCTGCATTTTACTTCAATGTAGAAAAATCTACCGTTTTCGGTCAGTAGAATTTTGCATGATTTTTTGAAGTAAGTATGTAAAAATTTTATAAAAAATTACAGTCAGTTTTCCTGAAACATTGAGTTAGTCAGGTAAATATCGATGGCTAAAGTGCAAAAATGCAACCGGCAAATATCCTGTCATGTTTTTTTTTTTTTTTTTTTTTTTTTTTTTTTTTTTTTTTGGAAGGCAGTATTTTTTGAGAGAGAGTAGTTTTTAGTGCGCATTTTAAGGCTTTTTAGATGTTGTAGTCCGTCTAAAACTCAACCGATCCTTCTAACGTTACAAAGATGAAACAATAAAATCAGCGCGGCCTCTTTCCATTCATGAGGGATGGACTTTAAACAACTGAAGAAATACTGAAGTACACTGAGTTTCGAATACGAAGTGGCAGAAGTAATCTTGCAGACTGTAGCGGCGGGCGGTGGCAAAGCGCTCGTAAAACTCAAGAGCGTCAATTTGAATTTGGCGCCTATTTATTCGTAATTGGCGGTAAAATTTGGCGGCAAACGGAAACAGGAAACAGGAAATACTAGTAGGCACTCTATCGGAACAGTACGACACTTCCCTTTGCATTTGTTTACGTTATGAATCGTCGGCGTGGTTGGTAGCAAGATCGTTGACAGTTTTTAGTGTTAAAAACGGTTAAAAGACGTGATTTTTTGGCGAACACAATCTTTATAGAACAACTTAACCGCTCGGTACGTTAATCTGATGTTTTCCTCTTCACTAATTTCTTTTCATGCACGCTACTAGTCGCTGGTCAAGTTCTTTGAGGTTAGAACGAATTTCTCGAAAAATCTCCTCTCCACTAATAATGAAGTAATTTTCAAAATTACATCGGGTACATACGTCCTTAATGATCGTACAACCTCATTTTAACTCTCAGTAGCAGTTTGACTCACCTCTAAGGTTAACGAAATCTGCTTCTTCAGAAGTGCTTTGCGGTATTGTCTTGCAATCGGCTTGATTGAAGCTGCGGTGTTGGAGAATTACAATATCCTTGGACACTCACGTATCTAGGATTCGTTACTTATTTTGTATATCAAGGTCAAGAGACTCAAGTTAGTCCGTTTGCACGCGCTCGGTATTTGGGGACGAACTCCCCCGATTTGCTGTTTTGTTTAGACCCTCTTGACGTTTCCCCACTTTGCGCTGCTCTGTCGCATAGTTCCTCCTGATCTCCACGATCTGCATGAGATCAATGTAATTGAATTGGGAGAACAGTAGAGTGGGACAAGCAAATCGGGGAAATCGTATCGCAATGCAGACAGCCCTGGCCTTGGTTTTCCCCAAGGATGTCATTCTCTACTTTCCCAGCGAACTGACCTAGGTCTATTGACGGTGCCCTTCTATACTTCCTCACAAGTTTGCTTCTAACGCTGCTAATCTTGGGTGGGGTATGCTTTAGAATTGACCCAATTCTGAAGCCTCGTGATACTTCCTCCTGCCATCAGAACAGATTTATTTTTCCCTCTGCTCTTCTTCAATATTTATAACATCCCAACTGTTATTTATCATGCTGAGAAGATACTGCTCTGATTTTTGAGTTTCATCATAGAATAGGGAGACTAACTTCATCAGAAGTGCAAGCCTTTGTCATTTTTATGTTAACGAAAGGAAGCTGCTTCAATGAGCACCTACTGTTTATGTCTGCGGCATGTCAACATTCTGGAGTGGCCAAATGATAAAGGGTACAGACGTTTTTACAAATTAAAGAGATTTATTTACACTTCTTTACCGTTATTACGGAAAAGTACTGTAAAGTTGCTTATAATGTCATGTTTCTTTTCAATTTTACAATATTAGGTTAACCTCTAATCAGGCTTCAGTAAGTATGAAGATTGATCGACTTCGGGAAAAACAATCTTAACATCGGCTCTTACGGAGCTTTTGCTTCTGTTGACGTCGTCTATTTATTCTATGATTTCATTTTCCTTCCTTGTGTAGGCACCTCTTTTCATTTTTTGTAAAAATTTTGATTTTAATTTGGTAATTATTAGTTATTTGATTTTTCTTGCATATCCCTGCTGAGATGTATGCTAATATGCCCTCATAATACCCCTTAAACTACCTACGTCTAAATTATCTTGCACGTGACAGTGGATAGTTTGCACTCATGCTCTCAAAAATCATTGCAAGTTATTACCTGTTACATCATTCGTTTGTGCAGTCTTTTTTGGAGCATGTATTTTTTTGCCTCTTTTTAATTTTTATGCTTGCTATGGTGTTGTGCAATGAACAGTTTGTTTGGAGACTGTGGATTTTTATTTTTCATGAGTGTGGTTTTACTGGAGCGAGCTGCCTTTGTATCCTTCGATGCTAGTATAACGCTTGCACATTAAATTGAATTGCCTTAAACTCTAAAGTAAGTTCTTTTCTTTTTTTTGTTAGTTTTTTCTTTTTTAAGTTTTATCTCACTATTTTTTATCAAATAATTTTTTATCATTTACCACGTAGAAGACTTGTCTATAGAGAAAATGGTTAAGTGCTCAATCCTAAGGAATTCAGCGCTGGCTAAATTCTGATATTATTGGACACAGTGATCCTCAAAGCCTCCTGTGCTGGATGAGGTCTCAGGGTGTCTACAAGTCCGGAATTTCCGGAAAGTTCGGAAATACTTAGTACTGATTTTTTAAGAGCGTTCCGGAAGTATTGAAAAAATGCGGAAATTCTGCAAGAAGGTCCGAAATTTTTTTCATTTCTTGGCATTTTTGTCATAATTTGAGCAAAAAATTCAAATTTTTCGAATTTCGTCAATTGGAGGTACTGAAAAAGTACTGAATTTTTCTATTAAGAAGGTACGGATTGTACCGGAAAAGTACTGATTTTTGGTCAGCTTGTTTTAGTAGACACCCTGGTTTTTTATAGTTGAACTTTCTAAGTATGTGCCAATCTCAAGAAGGGCTGAAAAGTAAATTTTTTTGGCATTTTTACACACAATATTTAGTAGAAATGTTGTGGCATGTGATCTGTGATCAAAGAGTGCTTTTGTTTCCTCACAGGCTGGGAAGATGTGAAAAATATCAAATCCCTCTGAATGATAGTAGCGTGCAGCACTGTGTTCACACTAACATAGCAACAGCTTAACATCTCCAGTAGGAAACACATATGAGGAGGCCAAAAAGTTCATTTTTCAGCTTTGCTTTTCTGGACATTTGCACCCAGAAAGTTTGATCTGGAAACCTCATCATGCTCAGGAGAGTCTCGAGGAAAATCATACCAAAATTTAACAGTTGCCTCATCATGATTTTGTTTTTTTTTTTTTTCGCTCCCTTGCAGTTTTAAATCAGTCTATTCTGTCTAATTTCTATGCAGTTAATCTGCCTTTATAATTTTTGAACAGATGCTGAAAATCCACCTCTTTTTGCTCATTTTGTGATTAAGTAAAACAGTTCAAAAGAACTAAGAAACGCACATAGTTTTTCCAAGGATACAAAATTGCCAACATCTTGTTTGCAAATAGGAGCTTCATTTTCTGGTCCTTTTCGTTTGTTTAAGTATGTCGGTAGTCACTCCTCTTCATCAGCTTTTTGCTTGTTTTTCAACGCCATATTTTCTATATCTAAGTTTTGTTGGTTTTAAGTTTCTCACAAAATTTTTTCTCTTATTCTAGGAATTTTAAGATGATCATCCCTATTCGCTGTTTCACATGTGGTAAGGTCATTGGAAATAAATGGGAAACCTATCTGGGCCTCTTACAAGCTGAATATACGGAAGGGTGAGCTCTCTGCCATCTCCTTTTTTTCTTATATATCTCTCACATAGCAAAACTGTCCATTGTCAAAAAAACAAAACCGAATTGGCAATGCCAATCTGCCAAGTAATAATTTCAGAATTACAGAATTTCGGTAATCCCATCATGGAAGAAATTTTGCACCATATTCTGTATGATTATGTGAAGTATGAGGTGGGTGGGAGGGAGGGTGGGTATGAGGCTGTATGGGTGTGGGAATGGTCTCTAGTAGCTATGACCTTTAAAACATTTTTTAAAACTTTTAAATACACTTTTAAAATGTTCGTGTTAGGAAACCCTTTTTGGCCATTTTTTAGGGAAAATTTACAATAAGGAGAATTTAAGGAAAAATGTATTTTAAAAAAACTCTTAAAATACCACTGTAGTTCTTCAACATTTTTTCCAAACATTTTTAGCGTTGAAAAACCACAGTTGATATTTTAAATTTTTTTTTTAACCTACTTAAAATTTAATGCTTGTAAATTTTACTTTAAAAAGTAGCCTATAAGGGTTTTCCAGCTCGAATATTTTAACAGTTTTTTTAACTAGTTGTCCTCTTGAAATTTGAGAGGTTTTTTTAAAAAAAATTTAACAGTTGTTGCTACTAAGGGCAGTACTATGTTGCTAAGTTTTAGCAACATAAGAGCGACCTCTAGCCAGTCAATATATGAATTTTTTAGGTAATAGCTTCTTCAAGTAGGAGAGTAATAGAGAATTTTCTTCAAAAACTGAAAGTGACGGAACATTCAGATAGAGGACACACACTTTCTTTAGACCGTTTAATAGAGAAAGAGACCTTATGCTAGACAGACTTCTAAGGTGCTAAAGAGAGATGTGCGATGTTGAAGGTACGATCTTGAACTGACACTCCTGCAGTAGTCCTGCCCTGCTGTGCTGTAATATCACCAAAAATCAGCCAGGCATTATATCATCCGTTTCCTTCCGCTTAAGATGAACTAAAGTAAAGCGTAATTTTTGTTTGTTTTGGTACCTCAGCATCGGACTTTTTCTCACCAGTTACACATATTCATAGCTTTTCTTTGCCTAATTGAATTCTTCTTAAAAGGTTCCTATAAAGGTGTGTCTGTCTCCACAATCAAAATGGGACATTGATGGGAATGTTGAGTGACACCCTTCAATATTATGAGGTGCCTCTACTTTTTATGAACAAAATCGCTAACAAAGTATCGCAAGACATGTATTTGATATTTTGCTCGTGTTTTATGTTGATCAAAAAGTAAGGGCCCCTTATTTCGAGTATCGCAAGACATTCATTTGGTATTTTGCTTGTGTTTTATGTTGATCAAAAAGTAAAGGCCCCTTATTTTGATGTCCCATTTTGATCTTGGGCTCATGGCTCTAGATTTTTGTATCAATCAAAAAAGTTTGTCCAGGCTCCAGCATCTTCACAGCTAGATGATTGCAAATATCTAGACACCAACTTTGGCCACCACCTCAAATATGTGGATTTGTTCTGCGTATGGCGCTGATTGAATTCGAACTCTGTTTCCCCTCCTATACTCTGAACCTACATACCTGTCTAGGCCACATCACATTTTGTGTCTAGTGCTAGGTTTTTTTGTGTGAGGCTATAAGTGGAGATTTTATCACAACATGCCTTCAATGAATATCAGTTTCCAATGTCCAAACACCAACTTTTAGGATTCAAGGATATTTGTTGAGAATTCTGATTTATTTAAAGAGTTCAATATCCAGACATTTTGTGGTAGAAGTTAAGGGTGTAGTTGTGACTGTTAAAGGAGGCTATACTTTGACTTTCCCAAGGCTTAAAGTTCGAACTTAGTGGAGATTTGATTCCCACAATAGGCACCAAAGTTCGAAATTCTAAGGAATAAATGTTCCGCAGAAAGATTGTGGTTAGTCGCTAGAGTCGTTTCAAAAGAATGTTTGTAATTTTGCCAATGGAAGTTCTCATTTTGGAGGGAAAAACATCATTCAAGGAATTTCAGTTTTATACTGAATTTTGACTTACTTTGGCAAAATCACCAACTTTCAGTTGAAATAAATGCTCTGTCTAATTATTTTAAAATTATTTGCAGAAAAGATCCTAATGTTAGCTTTTTGCCGAAGCCAATGAAATGAGAAAAACTGAAAGTCTAATTTTCCATATACTTTATTCTATTGTTACAGAGATGCACTTGATGCCTTGGGACTGAAGAGATACTGCTGTCGAAGGATGCTTCTCGGTCATGTTGACCTGATTGAAAAATTATTGAACTATGCACCTTTGGAAAAGTAACCCTTTGTTCAAATGTATATGATCTCCTGAAAAACTAACCTATTTTTCATTTTTGTAAAGCATGTAAATAATAATTGGTTAATTCCACCGTGATAATGTAAATAAACTTTTCTGATTATTCATTTTTGACATTTTCTATGCATTTTTCCCCAATGAAACATCAGTAAATGGTGATACTAGAAGACTTTGCATCATGGCTGATTTCGTTTTAAACTTGGTTTTAATTTTGTGAATTTTTGCATGATATCCCTGTTGATCGGCAAGTATTCTCTTCGAGTTTTATGCAAGAATAACTTTCTGTTCTCTTCTACTCCAGTGTGCAGTAACTCGAAAAAAATTGTACACCTGGTTTTTTTTGAGAAAATAAGTTTGTGAAGAAGTCATAAAGTCAGAGATCAAGAATTTTACATTAACTACTAGCTGCTTCAGCTCGCTAAGCTCGCTTGCGACGCTAGCCGGGGGCAAGCCCCCTGGACCCTCAGTCACTCGCTGAGCGAGTGACTGTTTGCTTGCTTCGCAAGCCAACTTTTGCTACAACAAGTAATTAGAGGACTTCCACGTAAATTTTACTTAAAATTTGTACTTGAAAAAATTTACTTAAAATTTTTTTTTCAATTTTATGTAAAAAAAACCCCAAAAAGGGTTTCCTGATACGAATATTTCAAGAGTTTTTTAACGTAATTTTCAAGTGGTTTTGAAAGTAAATTTTAAGTTCTCTTAAAATTTACGGGTTTTTACAACTTTCCTCCACAGCCACTGCTACTTGGGTAATAGCAATTTGACAAAGAACGGAGGCTTCTTTTAATATTTCCAGGTCAGACGCTTCCAAACCCGTTTTCTCAAAACTTTATTCTTGCACTTACTGCCCTCTTCGCTATCACGGCAGAATTGCAGTCTCTAATTTCAAAATGTACAATTTTTTACCCTGTCCCTGTCTAGTCAAAACATTTTAGCAGGGATGAAACGACTTTACCACATTCGTATCGGGAAAGTTTGGGGCCGCAGCCCGAAGTTTACAACGGTTACGTTGTGTACCTATTTAAACAATCAAAACGTTATTCGAATAATTGACGATGTCGCGATGAAAAGTAGCAATAGTTTACTCAGGAAAAGCTGAGAATAAGTTCTCATGTAAGAGAAAGCCAAGCCCCCATAGTTAGGTTCGAATGCGACTAACACTGCACAAATTTCATTTTAGCTCCCGGATGCAACTAGAGTACCTGTGTAGCGAGAGTATGGACAGATGTGAAACTCCGAAAATCCATCAGGCCTTCACCGATGCTTCTGCGAATAAAGTAAGGGCCCAGAAATGCAGCCAACCTATGAATTTCAATTATCCAGAACGATTTACTAATACTATTGTTACGAACCGTCGTTTATTAAGCACGTGTTTGACTCAGTTTTTGCATAAATTTACTCAAATTCGCGGAAGAACGCTCATTTCTGTACATTCTTTGCTATCATGGTTAGAATTGGAATCTGCGGACTGGCAGTGAAATTTTGTGCGTTAGAAGTTGGTTAGAAGGGTGGCTGCACTTTTGGGCCCTAAGCCCTCCATGAAGCGATCTGTCCATACTCTCGCTATACAGGTACTCTAGATGCAACTATTCGAACGCCGCGGATGTCCTTGTTGCATATCGACGGTGAAACTACCAAACCACGTATCTCGTTTGCGGTGTTTAAAAATCTACGCTCACATTTTATTTTTTGAAGTAGACCAAATCAATATCATTCCTTGAAATTTTCACGGAATTTTCTCCGCACAAGGAGGAAAAATCACAGAAATTTTCAAGACTGGATGTTAAGTAGTTTTTCATTTAAAAGATAATGTATGACAGGAAGTCTGCGACGTCGCAAACCGAGATACGTGGTTTGGTAGTTTCACCGTCGATATAATCGGGAGCGAAGCCGTTTTGATTGTCAAGGCATTCACCACTTCACCCACGCCGCAGTGGGCTTCACTTCGAGGTTCCAATATGGCAGAGCGCTTTCGATTCTTCGTTCATACCACAAAGATACCTAGGTATCTCCTAGCCATGAATAGTTCCATAAATTCGCAGTACCCACACTAGAAAAAAGACGCTTAGATCTCGAGTCCAGACTCTTGAAAACAATGACAAGAAAAAATACTCTTTATTCAATCGGATTGTTGCTTAGATCGAGAGCCTCTTAATTTAAGCGGATTTCCTTTTGATTCAAGCAAAAATCCGATCGAATCAAGAGTATTTTTTCTTGTCGTTGTTTTCAAGAGTCTGGAATCTAGATCCAAGCGACTTTGGTCGACGTAATTTGGTCCACGGTGGTAGTGCGCTGGGGAATTCCGTTGCCGGCAAAAGCACCCAAGTGCTTTCCGAGCGTGAGCCCGGGAAAGAACGGCCGTAAACGGGGAGCAGGGCTCATCTTGGATTGGTGAATACGCTGTTTTGTCCTCTCTCTCTCTCGCACTCATTGGGCAGATGCGGCACGTCAAAGGAGACCACTCGGCTTTGCCAAGCCGCCTGGGAATCGTCCATCTCTCTCGCACTCATTGATCAGATGCAACATTCCGCGGCTTGTCAAAGGGACACCTGGCGCACCTACACACTCGCAAAAATACGGGCTGGGCCTCGTAATTTGGTCCGCGGTGGAAGTGCGCTGGGGAATTCCGTTGCCGGCAAAAGCACCCAAGTGCTTTCCGAGCGTGAGCCCGGGAAAGAACGGTCGTAAACGGGGAGCAGGGCTCATCTTGGATTGGTGGATACGCTGTTTTGTCGTCTCTCTCTCTCGCACTCATTGGGCAGATGCGGCACGTCAAAGGAGACCACTCGGCTTTGCCAAGTCGCCTGGGAATCGTCCATCTCTCTCGCACTCATTGATCAGATGCAACATTCCGCGGCTCGTCAAAGGGACACCTGGCGCACCTACACACTCGCAAAAATACAGGCTGGGCCTCGTAATTTGGTCCGCGGTTGTAGTGCGCTGCTGAATTCCGTTGCCGGCAAAAGCACCCAAGTGCTTTCCGAGCGTGAGCCCGGGAAAGAACGGCCGTAAACGGGGAGCAGCGCTCATCTTGGATTGGTGGATACGCTGTTTTGTCGTCTCTCTCTCTCGCACTCATTGGGCAGATGCGGCACGTCCAAGGAGACCACTCGGCTTTGCCAAGCCGCCTGGGAATCGTCCATCTCTCTCGCACTCATTGATCAGATGCAACATTCCGCGGCTCGTCAAAGGGACACCTGGCGCACCTACACACTCGCAAAAATACAGGCTGGGCCTCGTAATTTGGTCCGCGGTGGTAGTGCTCTGGGGAATTCCGTTGCCGGCAAAAGCACCCAAGTGCTTTCCGAGCGTGAGCCCGGGAAAGAACGGTCGTAAACGGGGAGCAGGGCTCATCTTGGATTGGTGGATAGGCTGTTTTGTCGTCTCTCTCTCTCTCGCACTCATTGGGCAGATGCGGCACGTCAAAGGAGACCACTCGGCTTTGCCAAGCCGCCTAGGAATCGTCCATCTCTCTCGCACTCATTGATCAGATGCAACATTCCGCGGCTCGTCAAAGGGACACCTGGCGCACCTACACACTCGCAAAAATACAGGCTGCGCCTCGTAATTTGGTCCGCGGTGGTAGTGCGCGGGGGAATTCCGTTGCCGGCAAAAGCACCCAAGTGCTGGGCCTTGTATTGTCCATCTCTCTCTCACTTATTGATCAGATGCAACATTCCGCGGCTCGTCAAAGGGACACCTGGCACACACACACACTCGCAAAAATACAGGCTGGGCCTCGTAATTTGGTCCGCCGGTGTAGTGCGCTGGGGAATTCCGTTGCCGGCAAAAGCACCCAAGGGCTTTCCGAGCGTGAGCCCGGGAAAGAACGGCCGTATCGATTTGAGCTTTTAATGTTTCCACATTTTGTCCGACGACTCCTATTGACTCGCTCCACTGAGCGCCGCTGGTGAGCCGATCAGTGTCCGAAGTCAAAACGCCTTCACTTGCGTGCGTATGTAACACGGACATTCTTGGAGCCCGAATAGTTGCATCCTCATTTCAATCAAATTCGTCTAGTATCCGTCGGATGCAACTCTAACTGAGGATTTAATTGTTTCTCTTCCGCATTAACCTAACTTTAGCGTTGCCTGTTGTGCCTATGAAGTAAACCATTTCTGATTTCTATCGCGGCATTGTCAATTTTCCGAGAAATGCATAATTTAATCGTGATGCAACGTTGCCGATCCACGACTTAGCAAAAAAATCAAGCATTCGAGCATGACATTGTAGCGTTTCCTTTAACCGATTTTAATGAGTCGTTCTTCGCACGGGTTTTTCCTATCTTTGGGAAAACTAATCTTGACGTTAAGCGCGAAATTTAAAAGAACAATCCTAATGAATCGCATCGCTCGGAAACAAAAACGCTGTCAATTCGTCTCTCAAAATAATGGAACGCGACAAGAAATCTGTAACATCACAAGCGGCACAAGCCGAAGTACGTATACGATTTCCCCTACAGATTTGTCTTATAAGACGTCTTTGCTGAGAAAAATTGTAATCACGAAACTTTTCTAATTCTGAGGATATTCTGCTATCTGAAGCCGAGGTAAAAAATTAGTGATTTCTAAAATATTTAGTACCGTTCATAAAATACGTAACGATAAAATTTCGGACTTTTTTGCCCCTCCCCTTTCGAAACGCTTCCTCGACGAAGGCCGGCAACCATCCCTTTCCCTATTACAACAAAAGAAAAAATGGCGCAACGCTATCCTAAATCCCCCACCCCTGGATAGAGCGTTACGTATTCTCATACGCAGATCAATTTAATCAGCCGAAAAACACCCTAAAATTACAACTTGATCCGAGGAAAGGCTGCCACGAAATGTATATAATCGGGTACAATTGTTTTCCTGCACCTATCTGATCTTTTCGTATTTTGCCGCGGCTTTTCCCGCATCAGCTTCACCGTAGCATATTTCGTCACCTTCTAGGCAAAGTATCACAAGCGCCATGCGACGTTTAAAAATTTCCGCCGCCATTATATTTTTTTACAGAGAAATTTTTCAACGAAGCTGTCCGAAAATTTCACTGAATTTTCTTTGTGCTGCCGATACAATTTAGTGAAATTTCCAAACAGATTCAACCAACAATTTCTCAGTAT